TATCTTATATGGACACTCACTAATGTGATATTTAAGCAATGTTTTGAAGTATATATTATCAGCTGAATTTAAGTTAAGTGGGACTTTATTAATAATCTGTGCAGCAATGTAGAATGGATCTTTGCTAGTTAGTGTGTATCCTGTGATACTCACAAGATATTGATTCCGATTATTTCTTAAAAGTAGTAATACTTTGTAAGTGTAAAGTACTACAACGGTCAGAAATTCATATTTAATAAAGAAATCTTTACAGGACTGTTTGGATTCAAATTAAAAATCCTTCTGATACATTTCTTTTGTACGACCATTAATTTATCCATATTTGTTTGTGTCGTACCTCCCCTTATTTCAATACCATATTGAAGTTGGGAAAAGATTATCCCATAATAGACTGAATGAAGTGCATCTGTATCCAGGTATCAGGAAACGTATCTCAAGAGGAATATATTGGAGTTTATTTTATTACAAAGTGTGTCCATTTGTTTGTTATCAGTTAGGTTTAGATTGAATATTCCCAAAAATCCAAACAAATCAGTTTGATTACTGATTCATTGGATTTTAATGATTCAGACAGACTAGTTTCTAGATGACAAAGATTTTTTCTACGGCTTATTAATGTTGTATCATCTGCATAAAAAATTATTGCCAGAAGATCTCTATACATTGCTTTCATCCTGTGAGGTATGATCTAATGAGGCCATTAACTGTACCCTTTATTCCATAATAATCTAGTTTTGTCAACAGTTTTTCATGAGATACACTGTCAAATAACTTTGCAGGAACAATGAATATACCTGCTGTTTTCCTATTTGATTCCAAATTTCCAACGGTTTCATGTATGAATTCCACAACAGCAGTGGTGGTGGAGAAGCCCTTCCTGAAGCCATCTTGTGATTTGTTAAGGACATTATTGGATTGTAGAAAACAATTGTCTAACTAATATACCTTTTTCATAGAGTTGGCCAAGTACTGAAGTTAGGGTTACGGGTCGGTAATTGCTAACATCATGTGTATTATTATTCTTTGCAAATGGTCTTACAATACTAATTTTTAGGGATTCTTGGAAAGTGAATTCTGATAGAGATGAATTTATTAAGTAAACCAATATAGGCAGGTCCTCGTCCACAGCAAAGTCGTCCTGACTTCTGTTATAGTTGCTGGCCAGCGTTCGCTGACCTAGATCTGGTGGTTTTGGACCCGATTTCGTTGGCACACGAATTTGGGCAGTGTTGCTGTACATGTTTTCTTGTCGCGCTTGATTACCGATGGAACCGTAGAGTTGGTGATTTCAGTCAAATCTTTAAGGGAGACCTGACAAGGTGTTTCACACATAGATGGTAAAGGTTTGGAGTTTCGGTTTGGCAGTCTCCGCAGGCTTCATCACTGTACTGGAGAAAGACAGACAGAGATCTGCATGGTTTCTCGCTATGTAACGGCGTCTGGTCTCGAGAAAGGACACTCGCTCATTCAGATCTTCTGGATCTCTCTCCTTTAAAAAAGGTAGCGCACTTGTTGCAATTTGCCGCATGACCTCCTTCCTAGTCCACACAGTGCAAAGCTGTAGCGCAGGACTCTTCTCCATGTTCTCACCTGTGACACTTAACACATACTGGGCTTTCTGCCATATCATGTTGTTGCGTATAGCCAAACCTTTGGCATTTAAAGCAGCGCAATGGGTTCGGGATATACCTCCGCACGCGAAGAGTGTAGATTAGGCAGCTGATCCTTTCTGGAAGGGTTGGGAGGTCGAACGTCAGGATCTGAGTGATGTGGAGATCTTTCTCCCTTTCTCCGCTCTCTTGATCCAGAACAGCTCGGTGGCACCTTCGGTCTTGATAAAGGAAAGCAGTTCCTCCTCACTCTCAGCCGCAAAGCCCTCCTTCTAGAGGTTAAGGGTAGGGCGGCAATGTGCTTCGTTTAAATTCTCTTCTCGATGCGCTCATCGCTTGGGACTTTCCGAAATAATCTTAGATCTCCCGCGCAAGACGGACTGCGCTCACTCTTCAACGATTTACCTTCTTCAGAGCACGACAGAAGAAGATACCGTCCGAGGCCAAAGCCTACAAGGAATTATCCTCAAAATACGTAAACATATCCGTTCTAATTCATTTCCCCGGAGATATAGTTGGCACATGTGTGCAGTTTATCGAGCATATCTCCAGGAAAGTTCGCTATTCTAAACCAAAATCTTGCCTTATCGGTTAGGCTTCGGCGCCCGTGGAAATACCACGTACTGTGGCAGTAGAGGATTCATAAAAGAAGCGGCATTGTTATTTACACAATGGTACCAGCGGCGGCCATGGTGGCGGCGATGTAACGGTTAGCGTATCGGACTGTTGTACGCAAGTTGGCAGGTTCACACCCGATCGAAGTCGTGGATTTTTAAGGGCGAGAAAATCCTTCGTACGCCTTCCTTCGGAGGGGAAGTAAAGCCGGCTGTCCCATGTTAGTAGATTTCCTTGCATGCAAAAGATCAAGCCTAAATGACGCATCTGAGCAAAATTCAAATCGCCTGTTTCGTCGCCCAAGAAATACCTCCTTTCTAGTTGGTGAAAGGAGCGTAGCGAAATTTGCGTGGTCAGACGGAAGAGCGGGCCCGAGTCTTGCCACATAAAATAAGACATCAATTCAATTCAATGAAAGAATACTTTGTTCTGGCACACTGTGAATCATAAAATCCCATTGCAATCGCTGGAGGAAATGTCCTGCGGCAAAAAATCTTAAAGCTACCAACTAGTGTGAATGGGTGTTACAAGCTCGTTTCTCTTTGTGGAATATTCCAGACGCGGTTTTATTTCTTCTGAATTTTTCAGGGACGCCGCCGACGATATTCTGAATCCCGTAACGAACTGACGATCGTCCAAATGCAGCCGCCCCTCACATGCAGTCAGACGCCACGCGTGTGTGCGAGGGGTTCAAAGATACCGTTGAGGCTCTCCTGTACAGTACGTATCATCTTCAACCTATTCAGCAAAGGAGGCACTACTAGTAGCTACGTTACTGCCGACATAGCTCTCAAGCTCCCAAGCACCCCGTCAAGATCCATCGCCAACCACAAGGTCGTGTATTCTAGGTGGAGTTGTTATAAGGATATTTTTTGAATCACATATACAAATGCAATTGTTTATGAGGAATTTATCGAAACAAGTCATCTCAGTTGGGGTTGGAAAATTCAAAATCTACTTGCTCGCAAAAAGAACCACATATTATATTAAAAACATGGATGACACCTCTTTTATTATGTCCATAGATAAGTTTCAGAAATGCTTATTATTTTCACCAATTTTCATAGCCATCAGAAATTTACTTATGAATTGTAACTGAATGGTAAAATATGCTTCCTGGATGTTTTAGTTATTTGGTGTTACTATAATAAGCTCATAAATTGGGTATAAAAGACATCATTTTCTGGAAGATTTCTAAACTTTATTTCCAAGCACCCAGTAAACCATAAAATTAGTAATATTAATCATTTGGTAGATAGGACTATTTTCTGGCTGATCTTTCCTTTCTAATAACTAAATTCTTGCTTAAAAACATTCTATATGATAACTGTTCTCCAAATGGGGTATATCAACACAATAATAAATTGAAAAAACAAGGTAAGTTGGGATATTTCACCCATGAATTTTTTCTCTGAGATGAGAAAGTAAGTTGTGTATAAAATGGCATCACTGCATTTCCTTTAAACTGCTCATGTGGAGGAGGTGATCACCATTCTCATATCACAAACAGTTTGATAGTGGTTTCACAATATATGCGTTACATGAAAGTAAATATTTGATATCCCCTCCTTAAAGGCAAGTTGATTTTTATATCTCTCATAATTGAAATATAGTTTTAATCATGTATTCATATTAATAAATTTAGGATAAATGTGATTGTGAATACTGATTTTGGAGGTTATGCGAAATGTGTTCTCTTAGAGACATTTGATCCAGACCACACTCTATAGCATATTTTCAAGTATTCAGCCTTTGCTAGAATTGGACAAGCTGAGACAATACTATCAATGGTTTCTACTTGTTCCTGGCAAATGTGGCATTTATTACCTTGGGAAATTTTCAGAACCACTTAATCACAACGCCTAATATTAAGCAGCTACTACATTCAATTCTGGCTTCTTTCTTAACCGTTTAAGCCAAATAAATGATTGATAGTTATTGATTGTACCTTGCCTATTCTTTTGAGATATTGACAATGGAGTAACTTGTCACTCCAAAATATCTTTAACATTTTTTTCATCTCACATTTCATATTAAGTGGCATGAGAAGTTCAGTGTCTGTGTTATTCTCCATGCCCTTACATAATTTTCTTTGCAATGTTTCTTGCTTCACATATAATGCCTCTGTTTCCCATTCTTTGGTCAGATTTAATGACCAGCCCCATAAGCGGGTCATCTTCATGACTGACTACATACTTTCCCATCCCAACAATTGCATAGCACCAGGAGGCTTCAATATGTCCAAGACCTCTTCCTCCTCCCTTACGTGACACATACAGTGACTTGTACTATGCAGCAGCTTGAGGGTGGGTGACATGACGCATTGTAAGCACTTCTCAGTTTTTTGATCCATGATTCGAATTTCTTGATCATTATAATAATAATAATTATTATTATTATCCACATAATTATTCACAAGAGATATATCCCACTTATGTTGTAAAAATGGGTAATGCATTGATTTTCACATCAATCTTGTGGCTATTTTTAGGTAAAATGTCAGCTAAAGTATACATTTTTGGAATTCATTGATTCTTTGAGTCCTTTTTTATTTCATGATTGCGATTGAGAATTTTTTTATTGAGTTGAAGGGAAAAAGAAAAGTAAGGAGATTGAAGAAAATACAATCATTTCACTCACAAAATACATACATTTTACCTAAAACGTAAAAATATGATTAAATTACGATTCATGATTTGTTTATATAGTTGTAAAAGATTAATATACAAAATTACTGGTAAAAAGTAAGACTAAATCTCTGTTAACTATACGTACTTGACAAAATGTTGGAAAATGAATTTCAGAACTTCAAAGTTTACCCCAGGAAGTTTCTTAAGCAGCCCTCGCAAGGCAAGAAGGCGGCAACTACGGTCCGTTATTACTAAAAAACACCAAACAAACAAAATGCATTAATCCCTACTGCAATTAACAAATAGACTTAGAATAATCATGCAACAATAGTTTTTTGCGTACGTATTTACATTATGTGACAGCTCACTGCACATCTGTCAATCTTCAAGTAGATGGACTTTATAAATGTAGAAGTAACTTCTTAATACTCGACAATTACTTGTCGAACAAGAAAGCCAATCAATGTTGACAGCAAAGAAAATATTGAAATCACAACTGCATTACACAGCACACATTAAGTACAAATTGTACACAATACACGCAAAGCTCATTTTCTCTTCTAAAATAATGGTATACATGTATGCTTCTTGTAAACTTCAATTTTACGAATTATTGTTTCATTTCAATACATTACTTTACACTGCAGAGTTCTTCAATAAACATCACCAAATTGCATGGATAACCTTGATGAAAATTCCTTAATGTTCATAGAAACAGAGTTTGACAAGCAACATAATAATCCTGTTTTAAAAATGTAAATAATGGTAATTTATAAAAAGCAGATGCAAGATATAATGAATTGATAGCAATGAGGCCAAAATCAGTTGACACAGAAACATGGAGTAATAGTGTTTTGGTAAATCATTATGGTAACAAATGTATGTACCGAGGTGGATCACTAAGTGAAGTAACAAAAAATCTCATGGACACAATTTATTCTGAACTATTTATTCCTCATACACTGATACATATTCAGAAGGTACTAAGGAGCAAGTAAGTTTTAAATTTTTAACAACGTGCATAACTTGGCCCGTAAATGCAGTGCATGTTATGTCCAGGGAAAAAGCTATGCTTTTCCACTCTGGAATATGAGTTCTAGCACTAACTTACAGGTTGGCTTGCACAGTCTTTCTCCCTCCCTCAATTGGGCACCACCCCAGCTGGGACAATCTCCAAGCAACTGACACTGTGGTAGTGAAGTGCGTGCGTGCATAAGGAGATTAGGAGACAAGGAAGTTCTGTCTGGATTATTTGTTAGGGTGTTGCTATGGAATTCACCAAGGATTATTCACAGAAACCATGGAAAAATACTGATCACAGCACTAGGCATGGCTGGCGTTTTCCTCCAGACTGGCTGAATTTGACCCAGCTAGTTTAAAAAAAATCCACTACCAGAGGCCGTATATACAACAAGTACTTATTATATCTTCATTTATTCTTTGATTTAATTATAGACCATTAAAACAATTAGATACATTAATGATGAACCTAAAATTGTCAATTTTACAGTATCAAGTCAATCTAATATATCAAAAAAATTCATAAGTTAGGACAATTTGAAAATTATACATCAAAATATTAGAGGCCTTCATACAAAGATAAAGGATATAGAGAAATACAGTTTTATATTAGATGATTTTGATATGATAGTTTTTACTGAAACATGGCATATTATTTTAAGTTCTGAATTTAAATTAAATAATTTTGTTAAATTTAGGAATGATAGGAACAGTAGAAATAGTAGTTGTTCTGAGGGAGAGGGTGTCTCTTATAGCAATCAAAAGCATTTATAACTGCTTTCAGCTTAATTTCTCTAATGGTGTTGAGCATCTCTTCGTTTGTATTTCTTTGAATAACCTGAATGTGACAATTGGCTGTGTTTATTTTCCGCCTTCAACAACAATATCTTCATTTTGTATACAATGACTTAAAAATCTCTAAATCTGGAGCATCATGTCAATTGCACATTATTTGGAGATTATAATATACCAAATGTGAAGTGGAATAAGAGTACGTTTGCAAGCTGCTCAATCTTTGGTGACAATACTTCAATGCGTGAAAAAACCTGCGGTGAAATTTTAGGTGATGCAATAAGTTTTTTGAATCTCTTTCAAATTAATGTAACCAGAATGACGGTATGCTTGATCTAATATTTTCGGATTCCACTTGTGACACTGTTACATTCTTGTGAGGATGTTGTTTCTGTTGATGCTTACCATCCTCCCTTATGGTTTAATTATTAGTGTTCCCCAACATATAATGATAGTTATGACGAACATTAAATTTATGCCTTTACTAATGCAGACTACTCAATGATGGAATCATATCTTTGTGATTTATATGCTTTATACTCATCTACCAATCTTTGTCTCTTGATTCTATTTCCATATTGTACTTCTACAGTTATCAGTGTATTGATCTCTTTGTTCCTAAAAAGATCTTGAAAAAATTGAAGTTTCCTCACTGGTATAACCAGGATCTAAAAGGAAGAAGGAAGCTCATAAATGCTACAAAATCTTTGACTCACCACTGTATTATACTTAGTTTTCAAATCTTAGATATAAATGTAAAAGCTAAGCTAAAGGTGACTTCGCGAGTTTTAAAGAGGATCTTGCCCAACACATCAGTACTGATAAGAGAAACATCTGGAAATACATTAAATCTAAGAAGATTAGCAGAGGTTTGCCGGACTCCATGAAGATTGGTTCAGTTGTCTATGCAAATACTCAGTCTATTGTAAATGGATTTGCAAGTTATTCCTCATATAAATATGTGAATATAAAAGTTCCACCATTTATATTTATCACTTAAGTCAGGTAGATGATATAAATCTTATTGACAGATCTCCCTGTATTTTGAACTCCAAAACAACAACAACAAAAAAAACGTAAAAGTCTTCTCCCAATTGCTGAAGGTTCCATTTGATAAATCCTTATTTGAAGGTCTGCTTCCAACAGAGTGGAAAAAATACTTTTATTTCTAATTATAGACCAATTACAATTCTGAAACTTTGATATTATTAGATTGAAACTATTTGTAATTCCTAAAGTATTTGAATCAATAATTGTTGATAAATTCAATTACTTGATCTGTCCACTTCTGCCAAGAGACAGTTTGGTTATATTAGTAGAAGAAATATTGAGGCCAACCTCATACATTACTCTCAATGGAAAGGAGGATAATTTTCAAGTAGATAGTATTTATATGGACTTTTGTAAGGCTTTCGATTCAGTGAATCATTCCACTCTCCTCTGCAAGTTGCAATGTTTTGGTATAAACAGATCTCTACTTCAATGGTTTAGACATTATTTGTTGGGTGTACAGTATGTGTCTGTAAGAAATGTTACTTCTGAACCCATAGATGTTTTATTGTAAGGTTTCCACCTGGGTCCCCTATCGTTTTAAATTTTTATAAATAATGTTAGTGATATTATAAGGGATGTTGAATTTTTTTTTCTTTTTGGCGATAATCTAAAAACGTTTGAGATCATTACAACTCCTCAAATTAACTTGTCACAGGAATTACTAAATAAAGTTGTGAAATGGTGCACAAATAACAATCTTAATTTAATTCCTTTCAAATTTAAATAAATGACTTTCTCTTGAGATAGAACCTTGATCAAAAGGGATTCATCAACACTATGATTATTGAAAGAATGTCAACTATATGGAATCTTGGTGTTGTTTTTGACACCAAAAGGTCTTTTAAAGATCATCTTCATATTAGAGTTAATAAGGCCAATCAGTTAGGCATTAATAAGCATACATGATATTATTTCCACTCATTACAAATATTGAGATTACTTTATTTGATTTTGATTAGACCAGTACTTATATACTCTTCTGTTGTTTGGTCACCATGTTTTTCGAACAGTAGCTCTAAAGTTGAAACAGTCCAACAAAAGTATTTTAGATATGCTGCATACTATGCAGGGGTTCAGGATCCCTTTAAAACCCACGATTATAGTATCATAGCTTCACATTGGACACTGAAATCTTACAGAGATTATTTGATAATTTTTTGTGAAAACTTTTAAGTGGCACTATTGATTCACTTTTGCTGAATCAATTGTGTTTTAAAGTTTTCAACTTCAATACCAGAAGATCACAAATTTTTACCCAGAAGTTTTATAAGCATTTGTACACAGCTAACAACCCTATTAACAGAATGAGTATAGCTGCCAATAAGTTCAATTAAAATAGGTTTTTTGTTAGATGATGCAGCGTTCAGCAATGATGTGAAGAATAAACTTTTTAAATAGGGATGATTTTGTATACTAAGTAATTAATGTTTTCATGATTCTCTTATTTTGTCAATATCCCTGTAATCATAACTTGTGTTTCTGTTTTCTGGTCATATATATATATATATATATATATATATATATATATATATATATGTAAAAATGTAAACTGAACGTGACTGTAGTTTAAGTTATTGACTTGTAATTATTTACCTGTAATTTATTGTAATAATTTAGACAATTTGGCTGTTAAATTGAAAATAAACAAATAAATATAATGACTTCTGATGTTTGATCACCTGGGACACTGTTATCTAATTGGGAGCATCGATACCAAACATTAAATCTTAACAAAAAACCCATTTGGATAACATTGTCCAACTAATCAAACATTAGGAATCACTATAATTAAATCCGATTATTGTAACCTTACTTGTCTAAACATTTTGTTGGATCATTGGTGCAACCAAGGCATCAATACTGACATGAAGCTGCATCCACAATGCATAGTGAACTTCCACCCACTTGCATTGAATTGACTAACACCTTAACTAATTAACTACTTCAGAGACTTGAGGAGATGGAAATCAGAGATGCTCCCTCACAGTCTGACATTCCCTGTACAACTGTTACAGGGATGAAACACATATGCATCATGTGACACAAGACATTGTTCCACCATCTAAAAAATCAAAAAATTGTTCCAAACACAATGAAAATTACAATGTCAGTTGTCAGTGCCTCTCCAGACCGGCTCCAGCTCAAACACCTCACCAGGAGAGGGGTGCCAGTATTCCAAGATGTTATTAACACAAAGCACTAACACTTCTCTCCTGTCTACTCACAGAAAAACAATTTGTGTAATTGATTCTGGCACTTCTGGTTGGACATTCTCACTCATTCTCTTAGCAAATGAAATCTGACATTTAGAATGTCATCTGGAGAAAGTGTTATGGATATTACCTTGATTTCTTTCAAGTCAGCATTAATGTTATGGTCCACAAAT